GTAACTTGCTCATTCTGCTTCCATGCTCTTGAGCTCTATTCCTGTTGAAATCAGCCATTGTGTTCCTTCCTATCCTTGTACCCATATGCTCACCTATTCTGTCCACTTCTTACTTAACATAGAAGTGTTTGAAATTACTAGCTTTTCAAAATCCTGGCTTATCTGTACAACTGACTCTCTTCATACAGTAAGAAGGCAGCTTTATTCTTTTTTCCTGCTGGTAGTTCCTCAGTTGACCACTCCAGGTGCTCACCCTGGCCTACGGTGCCACACTGTTCCTACCCTGTTGCCATCCACCAGCCCCCAACTATTGACAGCACAGAGAAGTAACCAGGATGAGTCAGCTCTATCTCCCTCCTTCCCCCAGACCTACCAGCAGCAGCACCGCCACTCCAAGGCGCTCTGCTGGCTGCAAGCCCACTTTCTGATAGGAAGTCAGGGAAATATTTTTGTTTGGCTGAATTCTAAACACCAGGGCACTTACTTACTTTGTTTTGCTGTTAATTTTATAATCCATCAAATGCTCCAATAGACACTGTTTCGATCTCTGTGAAATTTAATTAGTATTTACCATGTTGAATGGCATCTTTATGAGGATTACTGAAAGATGAAATCAAGCCCATGACTTGTATTCTAGTTTGGATGCTTGAGGGTCACAGACAGTATATTGTAGTGTACTGATGTAATGTGATCAACAAATAATGCTGTTGTTAGGTTGTAGTCTTCAAAAGGAAACAACCTTTAGGCAAACCTAAACAAATTATGGAGAGGATTGTTCTCTGAGCCTCCTAGGAATGATTGAGGTTTTTATGCTGCAAAGGCATCTGGTTCTGAAAAGTAATGTTAGGTGGTGGTTGTTTTTTCAAACCCTTGGCAAGAGGTCCTGGAGGAAATAAGACATCTGGATGAGAACAAAAATTCCATTACTTTATTAATCAAAATAACAAACAGAGCTGAGAGTCATTATAAGGCACTCTGCCAGGCATTTTTTTCAGCCCAGTAAAGCCAGAATCTTCCCTCTAGTCCTTAGAAAGAAACTGGAAGCTAATCCGTGATGAAGGCCTTGCAGTGATGGACAAGGCCAAAGGCCTCTTCCTGCCTGAAGACGAGAATCTGAGGGAGAAGGGAGACTGGAGCCAGTTTACACTGTGGCAGCAAGGTGAGCCCCTGACTTCTAGATTGTTCTCCACAGCCAATGACCTGATGGGAAGAAGGCACCTTCTGCTGATAACTTCCCAGAGCTAGGATTCCCCAACATAAAGGAAACTTACCAGAAAACCTACATTGTCAAAATCTGCTCATTGTTTTTTACAACTACATCTGAACATTTATTTGTGTGTGTACATGTAAGTATATGTGTATGTGCACTCGTGTGTGTTTGGATAAATATATATAAGTAGTATTTTGATTCCTGGTCTTTCTCATTAAATGATAAGTTACAATAATAACCCTACAGTATAGGCTTAACTGAAAGGTTCACTGTGTGCTTATTAATATTACTAATGTAAGGAGCTTTCCTGAGCCTCGTTAAGCTCCCATTAAATGGAGATGATGTTACCTGCCAAAATGAGCAAGAGTTATCAGAGAGGAGCGTGAACCAGAGGGACAATGCAGTGCTAACCAGGGTATGAGTTCTGCAAGAACCGGAAGTGGTTGATTCATGTTCAGCCTAATATTCCTTGAGCTGAACCCAAGCCCGGGTACACAGACAGAGCTCCAATATCTGTGTGTTCAATGAATTTCTATATCAATCTAGCTTAAAATGGCAGGCATCGAATTTTATCTTCAAGGCTCTTTCCAGTTCTCTTATCAAGAAATAAAGTTAACCTGGGTTAACAATAGCTATACAAAAATAAACCCATTTTCAAGACTCAACAGCACATGTCACATATGTTTAGCTACATAAAATAAATTGAGAGCAAGATAAGTAGTCAGTTTACATTAAAGGACAAATAAGCAGTTGGTTACCTCAATTATGCTTTCAGAATGGTTCATGCATAAGAAAAGGAAAAACTACTTCAATATTTGCAAGGACACATCCATCAGGTGGGAGATGATATGATTTTAAGTGACAGCTTTTTGCAAGCAAGATTTTTCTAATGAGATATAAAATCAGTATGTGAGCAACATGCTCATTATTGGCATATCACTAAAACAAGTTAATTCTTTTGGCCTTAAACATTCAGTTCACCACTTCATCTGATGCCTCACTAACATTCACATCCTTGCATTTCATAGAAGCTTTCGGCCTGCCTTGAATAGCAGACATCTTGGCAGTACTTTCCAGAAACCATAGTTTCTGTTAAAAACAGGTGCCTTTAATGAAGTTGAATTATGCAAAGCTGGGGCATATAAAAGTATTAAGAAAGAAAATAAATAATGGGGGCAATAGGTTTGGAGGCAACATTTTGATTTTTAAGTCTTTGTGTATTTAAAAAAAATGTTAATTGTGGCAAAAATACATTCCTTAAGCTGTAAGGACATTTTCACTTGTGTTATTTCCAGAAAAAGACTGTATTTCTATCTTGATTTCCATTTTGATTCAAAATAATTTAGCTCTGTGTGTGTGTGTGTGAGATAGATATGTGTTTTCTGATACAGTTACAGTGAATTCAACAAGTTAATTTCTAGGTGTATTTTTTGGTGGTAAAAGAGTATGTCACATAGTTGATCTTTTAAGGAGTTTTATTAAGATGCTTTGTAGCCTTTTTTTTGTGGTTTCAGGCTTCTGGGAGGAATTCAGTAACTATCTTGTGGAAACAAATGCACTGTTTAAAGGCTTCTAAAGGCAACTAGTATCACAGCTTGCACGGAAGCAGGACTGAGCCCCTGGAGGCTGATGCTCTCTCAGGTGTTGTGGCTCAGGGACAGGGGAGAGAGAATCCTGTGGGTTTTAGGGGTCAAGAAGATGTGGCGAAGGGAAGTGGCAGGGCAGTTTCTTAGACACACTGAGAGCTCAGGTCCAGACAAAGAGGTTGATGAATATCTGACTTAGTGAACAAAGAGAGTTTGTCTAGTCTAGTTGGGAAAGGAGTCTTCTACCAGATAGTTGGAGGCTTTGAGGCTATGGCTGGAAGTTTCATTTCTATCCAGTGGCAGTAGAAATTATGGTAGGCCTCCAAATAGTATAATCTGGACTGAAGAGTGTTTATTCCTTTTTAAATGGTCAACTCTTTTGAATTGGAGAGAAAGGACAGAATCAACAAATAAAATAATGTTTTTTCCCCACAGTTATGTTTTCAAATTGTTATATGAATGTTACAGAATATCTGTCTTACTTGTTTATTAATCATCCCCGACAATGAACACTAAAGTATACGGTTAGCAATAATGCCACTGGTACGCAGTCATTCTTTCCTCCAGATCCCACAGGAGCTGGTGCTAACCAGTATCAGTAGCCTTTATGGAGGAGCTCAGTCTGAACTTCTGAATCCTTCTCAGCCCAGTGTTCAGGTGCCCACTACCAGCTGATCAGAGTTGTCGTGCAGGGTGGGTGTTGTCATCCCAGCAGTAGAGCCTTGAAACTTAAGATATAACCCAGGACCTTTAAAAGTCCCAACTCCATGAATAGGTCTTATAAATCATATTCACATGTACAGTAACATCCAGCTGATTCTTTCAGGTCTACATGGGCAGCTAGATTTCTTTCTAGGGCCATTTTCCCAAAGAAGCAAAGTTCTCACTTCTTGAGAGTTACTTTAAACTTGGTGAGAAATCACAAAGCAGTGCCGAAGCCACACTGAGCTCAGCTCCAGGCAGTCTCCTCCGCAACTCCTGCACAGCTGCTTTCTGATCAGGATGTGGCAACATGATGAATTATGCTTCGAAACAAAGCTTTGGGGACTACCCAGGCACGGTTGGTGGCCTGGCTGCACCGCTTTCTAGCTCTGTGATGTGGGCACATTCCTAAATCTCAGGGACTCACATTCCTCATGACAGTGAAAATCATGCCTCGAGCATAGAGTTGCTCCTAGATCTAATGAGCAACACACAGTTCCTCTGCAAGTGAGAGTGTTACTTCTTTTTTATTGCATAATAGTAATAACAATAATGGAGAGGCAATTGTACGTCATGGTTAAGAACATGGATTCTGGGTCCAGATTGCTGGAATTCTAGCTCTGCCACTTACCGTGTGACCTCTGTACCCCGGTTCCTCTTCTATAAAATACATCAGCAGTGCCTTCCTCGCCAGGTGCTGTGGGCATCAGATAAGTCCCTCTAGGCAACCTTGAGAGGCACGTGAGCACCTTGGAGCTGTTGTCTCATTCCTACACCCTCACAATCACAAACAGTAAATAGCTAAAACTACCAAGAGCAATCAATCCACAGATGTCAAATATCTACTACACAGAGAATCTGTGTTTATGGACTGGGAAAGATTTATGTGTCTAAATGTCTAGAGGTGCTCTCTAACCCATTTCTGGCCAAGTGGCAATCCTAGTGACGCAATCCACTTGGTTACGATTCATTGCCTAATGTTCATGTAATACACACCTCTGCTCCAAGTGGAATGTGCTCAGCCCTCACCACTGTGCCCATAGAGAGTCCAGCCACCTCTGGTTGATCCTTAACCTACCAGGCTTCACTTAACTGCTGTCTGAACAGCCAGAAACCGGAACTTGGGACTTGTGCCAAAACATCTCCAGATCCTGCATATGGGAAGGCAGGAGAAGCAAGGACGTACAAATGCTTTATGATGGTGTACACATGAATCCATCCAGTCAGACTGACGTTTATCATTCAACTCATTTGGGGTGCTCCATTAATAACTAAAAACAGGAACTACCATTTTACTCAAGAGCCAAGAAGACTACTTAGGAAAAGCGAATATAGAAATAGAAGTTGTTTCTAAAATACCAAAGTCCATTTGATTGAGGAGAATACCTTTAAGTTTCATTCCTTGTAACTCTCATTTTATTCTTGGTATATGATTATCTTAGGACATGACTAACATTAATTAAATAAAATTAAACTCAGCTTTAGATACAGCCATCCCTTTTAGAAATCTTGAATAGGGAATCAAAATGTTTCTAGCTTTTAAAAATTCCATTTTCTCCCTCCTCCATGAGAGCAAACGATGCTGTGTGTTCCTGAGCATGTCTTCCCTAAAAAACAGTGATTTGTAGACAGTGAAGAAATTTGCATAGCCTTAGAGGCTCAAGACCAGGTCTCAAAATCTGTGTTCCTGACACATTCATTGAAAATGTCATCTCTCAAAGACCTCCTCCGTCTTCATTTAAATGCCATTCTTTATCAATATATGAAGGTGATTGAAAAGTACATTAAATTCAGTTAAAGGTAATGTATAGGTAACTGTTTAATATAGTCCTAGAAATACATTTTTAGGTTAGAATATAATATAAGCTGTTGTCCTTCCTTAGCAGATGTATTTACTTTACTGTGGCTGCTGTAACAAATTCCCACAAACTTACTGGCTTAAAATGGCATACATGTACATCTTTATAGTTCTGGAGGTCAGAAGTCTGTGGTGGTCTCACTGGGCTAAAATCAAACTGTCAGCAGGGCTGCAATCCTTTCTGGAGTCTCCAGCTTCTAAAGTCCGCACATTTCTTACCTTATCATCCATTCCTCCAACTTCAAAGCCAGCAATGCCTGGTCAAGTCTTCCTCATTCTGTAGCACCCTGACACTGACTCTACTGTCCTCTTCTTCCACATTTAAGGACCTTGTGATTACACTGGGCTCATGCAGTTAATCCAGAGACATCTTATTTTAAGGTCAGCAGATTAGAAATCTCAGTATTGTCTTCACCCTTTATTGCCCCTTGCTATGTAACATAACACATTCAAAGGTTCCTGGGCTGGCATTGTGATCATCTTTGGGAGGGAACCATTATTCTGCCTGCCACAGGGGAAAACAAGTATTCGATGCATGCCTTGTCCATTATATATCCCTAGTGAAATAGTCCAACGCTGAGCAGAGAATTCTGGCCCTTGCTCCACCAGTCACTATCTACAGGAGCAAGACACTTTGTCTTCATGTGTTTATGCATTCTCAGTCCTGCCGTGTGGATGACGGTATAGATTCCGTGTGGTCAAAATGGGATGAGTTAAAGCATCACTATGATTTGTTTCTAACAATGGTTTTATAATTTATTGTTCTAGGAAGAAAAAATGAAAATGCCTGTAAAGGAGCTCCCAAAACCTGTTCTCTACTAGATAAATTCCCCGAGACAACAGGATGCAGAAGAGGACAGGTACCAAGAGTGTTTCAGTGCTGGGAAGAACACAGTACTAGGGATAGGGAATGCTGACATTTACAAAGAAATGGTATTTCCTTTAGCCCAATAAATGCCTCTTTTTTCATTCTCTTTTTAATGAAACATAATTTCATGTGGTTGACATCAGAATTGAGAGTGAAAAATGTTCAGTTTATCACTTTGTGGAAAATGGGCATCCTTGTTTTTAGTGCCTACCCAAAGAAATAAGAGGAGAATATAAATTCTGAGCGTTCAAAGGCTCTAATCCAGATTGATGGTAATTTTGTGCTGTCACTTTAATTCACCATTCCTCCACACCTTGATGAGTGCATGAATGGTGTGTTATATTTTCTGCGCAGATCAAATATTCCATCATGCACCCAGGAACTCATGTGTGGCCACACACAGGACCCACCAACTGCAGGCTCCGCATGCACCTGGGCTTGGTGATTCCCAAGGATGGATGCAGGATCCGATGCGCCAACGAGACCAAGTATGTTCCCTTCTAGCATCTTCTGTCTTATTCTTCACCTCCGAGGATAGGCGTCCCTTACAATAAAGCCATGTTCAGTTGGCTTATGTCTCTTCCTTTGTAACTGAAGTAGACTGAGGCAGGCAATATTAGTCCAAACTCTTCCATCTCTGTCCCTTTGTGCTCTCTGTGGTCTGGACATGCCCAATTCTAGAGATGCCCTCCTTCATCATTTCTCCCCAGAGCACTCTCCGCTGGTCAGTGAGCCTCCTTGCTTCTCTCTCTAGAGGGGCAGATGTGCATTCAGGGTCAGCTAACCTGTACTGAGCCCTGTGCATATTACACAGTGAGCTTATTGCCTTACGTCTGGAATTACTCATCAGTACAAACACCCAGTGATACTCATAGGGTTCACTCTGAAGGAGACAGCATAGTGCAGTGGAGGCTGGCTGCCTTTCTCAAATCCTTGGCCAGTTACTTCATCCACTCAAGCCTCACAGCTCCTTCCTCATAAAATTGGCAGTGATTCTATCTGCTTTGTAGGATTGTTGGACAGATTAAATCAAATAATGCATACAAGATGCTTAGCCCAGGGCCTAGCATGAGACGGCACATGGGGTGAATGTTAGGACTCCTTCTCCCAGGCCTCTTCCTATCCTAATCCTATCACTCCCTTCACTGGGATGCCTGACTTTTGCATCCAAAATAAACCCATTATTAAGATCCAATTTAGTTTTATAAAACGGAATCTCTCCTCTGACTTCTTAGAGTATGTGTAGTGTATATTCCCAGTCCTGTTCTTTATCTTCCATTGCTTCATACTGATTAGTATATATTAACCAAATCTGTAACTGAGCTGTCAGCTCCTAGGGAGCAGACCCCAAGCTGTTGTCTTCTTACCATTGCTCATGGTCCTTGGCAGAGGCCTAAGAAAGGTGGGTGTTCAGAGTCGTTCACCTGATGGTTGGCAGACACCTGCCTGCCCTGCACAATGCAGCAGAACGAAGGGCTGTGAGAAGTGCAGATCAGACAGGATCCTTCCCCTGCCTGACATGCCTAATCAGGGTGTTAACTCAGGTTCCCATGACTCACAAATAAAAAGTCTACAAGATGAATCAGTGGGAAGGTAGCTCACTTGCTGCCGAGGTTTGGGAATCTTGACAATGGTGACTTTTTAAAGATAGGAAGGATTTAGATGCTGAAAGCTGGGGGAGAAGGGCATGAAACAACAGCATCTCCAAAGGCACAGAAACCAAGAATTACAGACCACACATGAAGAATATTGAGCAATTTAAGCAACTCACAGTATAGAATACTGTTAAAAGGTAAACTGATGCTCATTAAAATATTCTAGAGTTTATTTGCAGACACATCGATTGGAATCAGGCAGCATCAAACCAAGTGGTTAGAAGAAGCACCCCACTGACAGGAGCAGGGTGAGGGGTCCAGGGTTTTTACAGAGAAGATGCTGAAGCAAGGCCAAAGCCTTCAGCTTTGCTTACATGTACTACCAGGGCATTAGAGGCTGATGGCCTCCTGTTTGAGTGCTTTAACAGTACATAGAGAGTAAAGTTAAAGAATGAAAGTGTGGATTAGAAGCTACATCCCAGAAGATTCTGAATACCAACTAGTGGGATCAGACCTTGTTAGGAAGTTATCCCAGAAGCCATGGGTGAGTCCTAGTGGGCAGGCAGATGGGAAGAAGAGTTATCAGATTGTCACAGTGGTCCACCCAAAGAGAGCTGGAATTGGGGTGCTGGAAAGAAAGGGAGAGTAAAGGGCACATGCAGGAGATATTATGAAACTGACTCAAGTTAATCTTGAGTGTATGTGGTGCAAGGGCGGGATGTCCCTGATGACTGGCAGTTTCCATCTTGTTCACTAGGCGAGTGCTGATACTTTAACAAATAGTGGAGAACTTGGGAGACATGAGGCAAGGTGAGGGGAATGAATACTGAGTTCAGTGTTTGTGTATATTTTATTTAAGTTGCTATTGGAACACAGTAGTGGAAATATCCAGTACCTGGCTGGATATGGAGGCCTGGAGCTCAGGGCAGACTTAGCAGGAGATTCTAGAGGAAGCCTGAGAGTCCACAAGCACATGTACATCTAGAAGGCAGAAAGAGAAGGGACCCAGAAGGGGTGAGGCAGCAGAAGGTAGGGCTGAGAGGACCCAGAGATGGCTGGACAGGGAGAGGTTTCTTGTCAAGACAGAATGGATCTTGCCAAGCCTCTGGGTCTACAGGGTCTCTCTGTCAAAGGGAGGAGGGGCAGGGACCAGAGAATACAGAGAGGAGGTGAGGGAATGCTGGATAAGGCAGAGACTGACGAGGTCAGCTCCTTGGAGATCAGTAAGAACCAGGGGGCAGTGCAGGTGGAGAAGGGCACCAGGCCTGACTCCTAAGCACTACCTTAGGGCTTTAAACTTGTTTGTTGTCTTTGTCTCTGTCTCTCCCTCCCTCCTGCCCTCTGTTTATTTTCTAAACTCACCTGTCTGTTCTGTTTGTAGATGCTTGGGGGAAAAAATATCAGTAGATAAAAATCCACTTAGGAACAGGCAGCAAGAGGGAAATGTATGGAACGGATCCTAGTCATCAGAGGCACAGGTGAAGGAAGGGGCACGACAGTCAAGAAGGGGAGCAGGTGGGCAATGCTTACACCAGCAGCCACGGAGGGCTCAAAATGCATAAGTGACACTGGAGACCTGGCCCAGGATCACGTCTGCAAGTGCATCCCCAGCCCAGGCTCTCAGCAAACTTCTGGGGACCATGCTTGACAAAGGAAACGACTGCCAACCCCTCCCCACAAATTTACAACATCATGAGGTTAACTGTCTTCACCTACCAGAAGTAGTTATAAGCCTCAGTCACCTGGTGGGTGATTTTGAATAAAAGTATTATCTTGGCAGCCCCTCAGTTTCCACTGTGCTAAAATACAGTCTACTTCACACGATGGCAGGTACCTGCTGATAACAATAATTCACAGGTGGTGCATCTTGCCTAGTAGTTATTAAAAAGTACTTGTCACCCACCTACTTATTATTGGGCCAGGACAGCGATTTTGTAGAGGATGAAATGCTTCACATTCTCTTGGTGCCTTTCTGCCCCATGTGATTGCTGGTCAACATGCTCGCCAATCCCTCCCATTGTACTTGCTGTATGTAGTTACATTCTTGTCGTTAACCATCCTTAGCTCAAGACTGGTTGGGCCAGGTTGAATACTTACTACAAAAGTAGTGTTTTTCCTAAGAGAAATAGGTCAATTTAATTAAAGTACTGTGTAATGCTGATAGTGAAAATAGCTAGCATAACAGGCAGCTAGTGTATAAGCTTTGAGGATAGAATGACTGTAATAGGAAATCTGGACCTTTCAGGCTGTTATTGTCAAAGTGTGTGAGTGTGGCAAGGGACAATACATATGCCAAGAAATGAGGCTTCCTTGGGCTAGGCAACATGAAGCAAATTTTGAGAGCATCTCAGCTTCCAAAAGAATAGGTTACTCATAGCAACTTGTGCCCTGTAGTCCTCAGGTACTAAAAATCATGTTGCCATTTCTCCCACGCCATGCGATTCCTGCTAGTGTGCATGTTGCTAAATATTCCAGCATGGTGAAACATGGCACAACTCTTTCTGTCTGAGGATGAGCTTGCAGAGATGTGGGCAAAACCATCAAACATTAAATGATCACTTAAAAGTAAACCATGCTTCTGATTACAAAAATGGTGCCTGTTCCTTGTGCATAATTTGTAACTCAGACACACACAATAAAAAAATTAAATATTAGCGTTGATGTCAGTGCTCAGAGATCTTGTCCTGATGCTTCTCATTCTGTATATGTGTGTATTCATCATCACGATAACGATGATGAAGATGACGAAGAATGTAGTGACATTTCTCGTGCTTACTGTGTGCACAAACCAGTTCTAAGCATGCTAATCCATTAACTCATGCATCCTCACAACGATCCTATGAGATTATTAAAATGTCTGTTTTACAATTGATGAGACTGAGGTATAAAGATGCTGAGTAACTTTCTCAAGGTCACTGAGCTTAGTAGGTATTGACTGATATTTTTATTTGTTTCCTAGGGCTGCTGTAATACACAGCTACAAACTGGGTGACTTGAAATAACAGAAATGTATTCTGTCATAGTTCTGGAGGCCAGAAGTCTGAAATCAAGTGCTAGGAGGCTTCTCGAGTCTCAGAGGGAGAATCCATTCTCTGCCTCTCTCCTGGCTTCTGGTGGCTGCTATCAGTCCTTGGCATTTCCCGGCTTGTGGACACGTCACTCCAATCTCTTCCTCCACATCCCCTTCTCCCTGTGTCTTCTCCCCTTATTTTCTTTTATAAGGACTCTTATCATTGGATTTAGGGCCCATCCTAATCCAGGATGATCTCATCAAGTGGACTTACTTTTTGTGGGTCATCAGTCAACGTACTACAAAACTGTAACCAAGGTTTAGTCCCAGGCAGTCTGCCTTGAAAGCCTGTGATCCTAGCCTCACCGCATAGCCTTCTTATCAAGAATTTGGGGAATTTGGGGGTTTTGTTGTTGTTTATAAAATTAGAATCATGCTATATTCATGAGGCGATCACCATGAATGCTGGTTTTAATGTCCAGCCAACAGAGCGTCAAGTAGAGAAAACTGGGGAGTCTCCATTTCTGGGCTGTTCGTGTCGCACCTGACAGGCCATGCTTTGGGGTCTGTAAGAGGAGCTTGTTAGCAATCTTGACCTAGAGGTAAAGAAACTTACTCAGTGGGTAAACACGCCACTGGCATGTGGGAATTAATTGTTACCCTTGTGGCATGGCCAAGTTGCATGAGCTTTGAATGAGCCCAGAGAAGAATTCTTCCCTCTGTGTCTCTAAGGGGGCTCCCAGGACATGCTAGAAACCATGCTTAGCAAAAAGAGGGGCCCTGCAGCTCTCCTGGAGACTCAGCATTATTGCCTGAAAATTGCCAGCCTAAAAGGTTGGACAAGACAGATGTAGTCAGGAAAGCATGCATTAGTGTCAGTGAC